ATAAACGATTTTCAAATATAAATGTTTATTATGTAAAAGATATTTAATAAAAAAAATACATTAGATAAATAAATTAGTCATTTTTAAATATTTTCTTAGAATACGAGAGTAAGTACGTGCCGTAACATTATTTGTTAGATCAAATACATTTATACGTGGCTTATCCTGATCCCTTATTCAGATAATCGATTTTAATGAATAATTTAAATTCAAATCATTTGGATAATCGATAATCTATCATAATATAAAACTTTTCTTTTTATCACATTTTGTAAAAAAAAAACTTTAAATTTTGTAATTTAAAATTTTTTACAAAAATAAACTAAAAATGGCAAACAATGATCACAAGTTGAAACTCACTGTTCCGAACACTATTTTCTAATATATTTACATCATAAATTTACATTCTATGTATTTTCATTTTGTTGATGTTATTTAGTAAACAATTTTTTTTTAAATATTTGCATAAATACATTAAAATTCAAAATCTTGAAAGTTAATTCACTACTTCATCACATCTATTTTACGAGTTTGATTGCATAAATATAATAATAAACAATTTAAATAAATAAAAATAAAATAAATAAATAATAATAAATAAAATAAATATAATAATAAACGCTAAAATTTATTAAAAGAAATTATTTATTTATTAAAGACATTTATTTAAAGAAATTTATGAACTTATCTGTTTCAAAAATGGCAAATCATTTTGCAAAAATATTACATGAAAGAGAAAATTTAAAATGAATAAAGTATAATGAAAAAGTAAATGAATAAAAATTAATTCTTTATAATTTAATCTTTTTTATTTAGAAAAAAATAATATAGTAATAGTAATAATAATAATATTAAAACGAATTTTGCTCTAAATCTTACTTTAAAGTAAAAAATAACATATATTATTGGTTTCAAAAAAATAATATTTGCTACATTAAATTTTAATTAAATAAAATTTAAAAAATATAAATATATAAATATATAATTTCAAAGCAAGATGGTATTGTAGAGAGTTAAGATGATTAAAATTGAAATAAAATAAAAATTCAAGTAATTAAAGCTAAAGTAACATGAAGATTATAACAATCCTTTATAATAGCTACTGTCATTCATTGATATCTTTTTGTTTAATAAATTGTTTTTCGCACTCGCCGTAACAAAAAGTTTTTGCTTGTATATATTTTAATTTTAATTTGATTTATTTTCTGATATTTAAAAAACCAAAGATGATGAGATTAGAATAATTGTAAAATAATTTTTATTATTATTTTGCAAATGTTACAAATAAGAAAATATATATATATTTTTTTGAATATTAAGTATATAACCTAGAAATGAAAGTATATCAATAAAATTTCTTACAAACAACTGTATGACAGACAGGTTAAAGATATGAAAAATCACTAATGTATTTATTATTTAATGGAAAAACAAAAAAATAGCAACAATTGCAAGATTGCAAGAATGAGAATTTGAAATATATTATGATTTTGACTTATATTTTTAATATAATCACAGGCAGTAAAATAACAAGTTGACAGATATATTATATACATTTTATAGTAAAACATTTGAAATTTTTTAGTAAATAAAATATATTTCAATCACTTAATTTGATATTAAGATTTAAAAAAAAAATAAAATTTAAAATTATGATTGACATGCTATTATGAATTTATTATGATTATATATATTATATTATAGAATATAATAATATTATAGAATAAAATAATATTATAGAATAAAATTTATATGTGTAAAGTGATAATAATACTAAATAAATTTATATATATTTAAGATTTGTATGTCATTAAAATTCATAACATTTTAATTTTATAATTTATTTCTCTCAAAAGTTATATTATGTTATATTAATACTGAATTTATATTTGTTTCGTTCTATCTTGATTTATAAAAAATTCATAAATTTCTTAAGATTTAAAATATTATATTATATGATTTATATATTTATACAATATATTTCTTATGAAATTTATAAAATTATTCGTTTAATTTTATATAATTATTTTTAGATATTTTCTAAGTTAAAAAATAAAAAGAATATTATAGTTAAGTTTCTCTATTCTAAAATTTTTTTTAAATTTTGGCTAATAAATTTTCCTTTCATTATCACATTCTACATGAAACACGATAAAAAAATGTTTTCACACTTTTTTCCTTGACATCAATCGTTTAACAGTTATTTCAAAGTGCAGTTATTGATGGACATCCTGTATAAATAGGGAAATAAACGTAACTGTATAAACTAGGAATAAATCATTCACAATATCGAAAACTTAAAACTGTTCGAAATTTAAAAAATTTCAAATTCTTGAACTTTGAAACATTTGTAACATAAAACTATCTAAAAATTTAAATAAAAAATTACAAAATTAAATTTTTCGCGAATTAAAAAATTACAAAAATCAAAATTAAAAAATTTTAATTCTTGATAAAATAGATGCTCTTTAAAAAAAGAAAGAAAAAAAAAACATTTTAAGTTTCAAAGATTTCACGAATTTTGAAATCTCACAAATTTTCGAAATTTTATAAAAATCTCTATTATAAACGAATAAGAAACAAAATTTGTACACGTTGGTAAAATTATTATTAATACCGAAAGGAAAATCGATCAAACATTAATCAACAGAGTTTCGAGCTAGAACTGATATAATGGAAGGGATGATTTCCTTGGAAAATATACAATTCGCGTAACGAAGAAAATTCACAAGAATTTTTTCACGAAGGAAAAAAGCAAAAAAAAAAAAAAAAGGAAAAACAAAAAAAAAGAAAAGAGAAATAACATTGCAAAAGAATCGAATGTTTGATTACCTTGGCGAGTCTCATGGCCGTGAGCCAACAGGCGCGAGACTTTTCACTGTGGAAAGCGATGACCTTGAGTCCGGCTTCTCCAGACTCGATGGTTTTGAGTTGGCCGGTGCTGGTCGGCCTCAGGCAAATGCCCCACGGGAAGGGTGCTTCGTATCTCTTCCTGGTGTTTGTGATCTTATACACCGCGTAATCCGACAAGTGGGCGAACAAAAACGTTTGCTTCCTTTTCTGAAATTATTTCGAATATCATTAAATGATCTATTGCCTGACTCATAGATAAATCGATAATTAAGTTTCTCGTTTTCTGCAAATCAAACTGCCTCTGGTTTCATTTATCAAATGTTACTATTCATTTTTCCAATATATGGAAAGAAGAAAGAAAGAAATAAACGAGAAAGAGAAAAAAAGAGAAAGAAAACTGATATAAAGATTAGCCAATTTGACAATGTATTTGTTTGTAATATAAGTAGAGCGGAGATGATGAATCCATAAATCTTTGAAACGATGAAATTAAAAGTGTTTCGGTAATATAAATGGAAAATCGATAGCAATTGAAAGATATCGAAACAAAGATGTAATCAGAATTAAAGCGGAACCGGTTTATGGGTAACACCAGAAGTGCACGCATCCGTGATTAGAGAAGAATGACAAGCGAGAAGATTCGCTTTATGTACCAATAAAATTTGTGTTACTCTCATAGTAGATTGCATGCGCAGAATTGTTAGAATATTAGAAATAATTGGGATTCGTGAATTATTTTATTTCTTTTTAATGTAAAGAACATCGAAATATATCTATTTATGCAACTGGGCTTAACCATTACTCTTATTATGAAATAAAAATAAAAAATTAAATGATTTCTATCTGAAAATGGAAGCATTTCCAAGATTTCAAAATCACATTATATCAATTATATATCAATCGATACATTTTTTTTCTTAATAATAATTTATTAATATTTGTATTAAAAATTGATTAGTTTAAAAGATATTTTAATTTTTAAAATTTAAGAAAAATTTAGTGTTTATATTTTTGTTAATAAATATAAAATAAAAATTAAAATTAAAATATATTTTAATAAATATATAATAAATTAAAATTTTAATTAAATAATTTTATTAATATATAATAAATTAATGTTTTAAAATATATAATAAATATTTTAATAAATTTTTTATACAACTATCTTTATATTTTTATGAAATATGAAATATAAAAAATGACTGAAATATAAAAAAATATATAATAACTAAAATTTTGTTTTTTATTTTCAAATCAAATGTATAAGTGATATATTCGAAACTATTTAATTTTGCTCCATGAAATTATTCTATCGCTTAAAAGCTATGGATAAATCCAATTGAAATATATATATATATATATTTTTTATATTGTACAGTATTTGAATAATCAGATTGCGAACGATAATTGGATGCGTGAACAACTGTCGACGAATAAGCGAATCTCACGGAAAAAAAGAAAAGAGAGAGTTCTACGAATAATAGAAAAATAAACGACTATGAATCAAGTGGGCCACATCGTATTATGATTACAATAATATGAGAATGTATAACGGTAGAAGTCCGTGAAAGGAGAAACAACATTAGTACGAAGTAGCGAAACACGGGACGAAAGAAAGAAACCGTGAGTGGGCGGATGAGACCTACCAAACGTTGGAAAGAGATTAAGAAGCCGGCTTGTTCGACGAACTGTCCGGGATGACATTCAAATTGAAAATGATTTTTCATTTTTTTCAAGGTTTTCAAAAGCTTTATAAAACTTATCTCAAAAATCATTTATCGTCCTTGTTGCATCTTTGGAAATGACATCAATTGACAAAATTAAGAAGATTAACTTATTCGAATCGAGAAGGTTCGACACAATATGACGGAAGAGATTTTCCATATCGCAAGAACGACTTATCGAGAGATATCAGGAACGAGAGGAAATATCCAAAAGTAAACGTTCAATCTAAGTTCCATCACAAAGCAAATGGTTGCAAAAAAAAAACTATGACTAATTTTATCGGTGAAGGAAAGATCAAGAGACAATTTATTTTCGACTAGGTATCGTAGATGCAATACCACCCTACTCACCGTAATTCGAAAAATTAACGTTTCAATAGGCTAAAAGAATTTGGAAGAATGGCTTTCCAAATCCCATCAACGATGGCAGCGACAGCAGTAGCAGCGGCAGCAACGACGACGAGACGACGAGGATGGAGATACGATGCCGACGCCGGTGCCAATATCGATGTCGAAATTGATGATCGTCGACGAAGAAGCCGAACTAGAGAGAAAGAGAAAATAGATAGACAGACGCATAGATGGAAAGATAAAATAAGTAAAGCAATCATATCTATAAAATAAATCGTAACGACCGAATAATATATCATGTCGCGTTGTCTCGCATAATCGTAAATTTATCAAGTATGTGTATCAATAATTATAGGTCATCCAATCTTTCATCTCGATTACTTGCGAATCTTTTGCATGCGAATCAGTTTTTGTATCGCGTATTCTAATACGATCAATATTCCGGTCGAATTCTGGCACCGGCTCTGAGAATGATTTTAATATTGATTTTGTCTTCGATTTAATCCATTGTTATTGATTTGCGAAAAATTATTACACAAATTTCACATTAATTACATAAAACTATTTCTTTTTAGTGAGATAAATGAGATGTCTGAAAGCTTGAGGAACCATTTTTTTTCTGAAATCATGACAATTATTCAAATATCCTTTAAATCTATTCGATATCTTTCTTCGATTCGATCTAATTCAATTTATCATATAAATTAAATCAACTAATGAATTTCTATTTTCCTATATTTATTTTTAAGAATTTGAAATTTTCGATCAAATTGCTTTATTTTGAATCATATAAGTTGAGTATGCTAATAAAGGATTTTTATTTTTCTACGTTTATCTCGATCGGGATTCTCGATCAAATCACGTCATTTCAGATCAACACATCGTGACAGTCTTGTGCGATATTGGACTTTTATTCCGACCGCTACCGGACTGACACGAACGATAAACGATTGTTCCGATGGAGTAAGGTTGTGCACTATCGCTAAATAACCGGTAAATGTATACATACATATACGTATCTTAAATTTCAACAAAAAAAAAAATACTTGTGTGAAAAAAAATATTTTTCAATACGAAGAGAAACCGGTTGCACGACCGAAAGTTTTCGAAGATTTAGTTTCGTACACTACCGACCGGTCACGTAGCATTTCCACTTACCACCCAACAAATTTCGATCCATAATGATTCGACTTTAACATGGGATTGTCCTGTGAATTCAAAAATCTTAATTTCCGATCTAACCAATTGAAAGCGAGTATTTTAACGATAAATTATCAATATTTATTATTATAATTATCAATTTATATCATGAGAAATAACTATGCGTTTCGCGATACCACCATGTTCTTTCCGCTTGGAAATACCGACCTATCGACAGATCGGATTTCATAGCGCTTCACTTGCAATCATTTTCTCTTCTTTCCTTCGTTTCTTTCTTCCTCTTTCTTCTTTTATCTTCCTATTTTGTCTTTTTCTTTGCTTTCTCTTGCTTAAAACACAATCATTTCTCACTTCAAATACAACATTGCGTCGTCCCGACTAAGAATGAGCAAAAATAAAAGCACATAATGGATCGTTTCTATTCTACAAATTCGTATACTCATCGACAATTCGATTTCTTTCGCGTCTTTTCTGAACTACGTGACAATGACGCGAGCGAGGAAAGTTGTAAAAAAAAAGCGAGAAGCAGAAAATGAGTTGGACAAATAGAGGCCTGATAGCCGTTTTTATACAAGGAAATGGAGAAAAAAAGAAAAATAGAGACAGAGAATAAACGAGAAAAAAGGGGATATCTAGTGAGTGTAAGATGGGGAGGAATAAGCGGGGTGCTCAGAGATGGAAGCGAACTACCGGTAACAAGCAGACAGCGCGACGACGCTAATCGCGTCCTTTCCTTCTTACTTGTTCCTTTAGTCAACGAATAATCAGTGGGATCGGTTGATTGACACAACGATGAGATGAGTAATCATGCAATTCGAACCACATAAACGTAAAATGTCGATTTTTGTCGAAGAGGTGAGAAACTTGCGCGTACGTACAATTCTTCAACAGTGTCGAAACGGCGACTGACGGAAAGGTTTGTCGCTTGCCGGTAGCCTCGTGCACAGAGACGAACAAAGATCCGAAGACTGCCGAACGACCTAGCGAACGTGACCGAACCGACCAGTCAGCTGGTTTCCCGGTGGTCGCGGCAGACTGCATCGGACGTGCGCTGCTGCGCTACCTCGCCTCTTTCGTTTCCTCGCGCTTCGATTACGGTCGTTCACGAACTCGCCCGAATCAGCTGGCTGCCCACCCCCGTGTTCTTCGACCCGATCCTATGCTCTACAAGTAAACCTTTTTCGTACTTCTCTCTCTATTCCCCTCTCTTTCTTTTTTGTCTCCTCTCCCCCTCTCCATACCCCACTGTTTCATTGCTTGCCTCTATATACACATTTACAGTGATTCGCGCACAAGAAAGCTTCGTTCAATCAGTTCTAATTTCGCGATTATTCATCAATCGAGTTTCAAAGTAGCGAATCTACTTTATCACGAATGGAAAAGATACAAAGATATAAGAGACAGAATAGTATCGATAAGTTCTCGAGGAAGAGGAAACAATTTCTAAGAACCCGGTTACACGGCTTTAAGAAGCCATGTAAACTACTAAACGGTAAAGAGAAAAAGAAAGCAGAGTATCAGTTGTTCTAAATTATATCTAGCGTTCAAACTTAACTGAATTTCGTTCCGTTTATGAAAGATTTCGATTATTACTCAACAGAAATGGATCGATAATTCGGTAAATCGAATACGAGCCGTCGCGTTGCGGCTCGGAAAAGGCAAGCGTATCTAAACTAAAATGCTTGCGTTTCGATCGCGGAACTCTTGTCGAGTGTTGTTATCTCGGCTTCCTTTTAATCGAACGCGTCGCGTTACTTTGACAGCATGAATCGATCGATAGTAGACGAAATAACAGTCGTATATATGTAAGTAACTACTTACATCGTTTTAATTCATATTTTTTCATTTTTTCATTTCGTTGAAATCGGTAATTAATTTCTTAATGTCCAAACGATTTAAACAAGAGCATATAAATGAAAACAGTAAAAAAGAAAATGAGGACAGAAGTGAGAAGATAGGAAGGAAAATATTATTAAAGGGTAGTATTTCGACACTAAAAATGATGGTGTTACGTCGTTGGAAAATCCACACCTTTCGGCTACGTGCCAAAGGTGACAATGTATATTTTATATTTCGTTTTTAGCTTCACTTTAATTTCTTAATTATTTAATCTTTATTAAATGAAATAATTAAATGAAATTTATAATTTTCTTTATTAAATTACATTGATAATTGAAAAGATTTGCAAGAATTCTCAGTTCTGTTTTTTAGCAAAAATTGACTTTTCGTGAAATTGTAATTTTGGCAATATTCCATATTACCAACTATAAAAATTAGACATCTCTGATAATTAATTATTAAAATAATGTAATTTTTCAAAAATTAAAAATATAAAATTAGCTTCAAAGTTAGACAATCTTATCATTAATACAGAAATTATTTAATTTATTGTTTATTGAATATTTTATGTCAGCTAATCATCCATTTATTATTTATTAATTTATTTATTAATTTAAAAGATATTGTTCAGAAAACAAATAAAATTATAATTACAAATAGAATATAAAACTACATAAAATATATATGTAATATATATTATATGTAGTATATAATATAGTATATAAGTATAAAATATATAAGTAAAATAAAAACTAATATTAAAAATTTATAAATATTAAATTTATTTATAATGTATATAAAATTATTAATTAAATAGAAATAATTAAAAATAATTTTTTCATTGATAGAAAATTATGAACTGAAAAATAACTTTTGGTTCTACTATTTTTATTAATTTTTCTATTTACTACTTAAAACTAATGTTGTTAATTTTTAATCTTTGTTTTTTATGTTAATTGTAATTTATTATAATATTATATGATTATAATATATATATTATAATATATTATTTGATTAATAAAACAAATTATATTTGTGTATTTAATTTTAATTTTAGCAAAAGTTTATTAAAATTGTCACTACTAATCAAAGTTTTTATTAAAGCATTACTAACTAATCTCAAAGTTAATAATAATTAAAATAATTTTTTGAAAAGTATTTAAAATACTTTATTTCAGAGTGTTTAATTTTTAAAATTGATTTGTATTAGAAAATATAAGTAATATAATATAAATATAAATATAAATTTCAAATAATTAATTATTTCTTTATTTCTTTATTTTAAATTTGGAAATAATCTTAAACAGAAATTGTGACATCGTGTTATGTAAATAAAAAATGCAAGTAAGTATGATGTAATACAAATCAAAGTCTGATAGAATATAATTTGTATCTCTAGAGCTAAATGCACTTATGAAATAACATTTGAAATATTATTTAAAATTATTAGAAATATATATTTCATGTAATTATTTCAAATAATTAACATCATTTTAAATAAAAATTGTGAAAATAAATTTTTATTCAAATAAATTTAAAAATAATTTTTATTTTAATTTTTATTTTAATTTTTATTTTAATTTTTGTTACTTTCTTTCAAATATATAAATAATCATATTATTATCATATTTGAATAATTTAAAAAATAAATTATTTTAATATTTTTTATATGATTTCATTGAAAAAAATTTTAAAAAATGTTTCTTTGCAATAGATACTTCTAATTATAATTCGATTGATTAGAATATATTTATTCCTTTTTCCATTTCTTAATTTTTATTAGATATGCACTTTTTGATTTTAAATATAATTCGTACTTTTTATATACAAAAATCTCATTATTTATTATTTATAATTACTATTTGATTAAACATTATATTATTTATTTCTCAAATATTTTAGAATATATTTGCAAAAAAATCAAATAAATTTATTTCTTTTATTTTATTCGAAATAATTATTTCTTCTTTTTATATTATATTTCAAATAAAAAACCTTATTCAAAATAATGATTGATCAATTCAACATCGATTCCTTCAACGATATATATTTTGTTTTTCCAGAAAAAAGAAAAACAAGCACGAAATTCAAAATGAAATTCATCGAAATCTATCTAATCACATTATTCGTTCGGGAAAAAAATAATACGATTGCCAATATTCCCTAAATATCGATTCTACGTTAAAGATTGAATTGTTTAGATAAAAGGGTAAAGTTCATGTCGAAGAAGCAAGTGGTGATCGCGTGTCAGAACGCGAAACGAACGTGGAAACGAAACCACGGACCACTCATGCCACGTTACGCATCGCGAACGCGAACAATGACGTGGATGCAACGGGCATCGTAATATCGCGCGTGCATTGCGAAAACGTATTGTGTTTGCCCAACACCCTGAACGGGGAAACGGTGTAGGAAGTACCATATGTGCGAGAGAGAGAAGGAAAGAGGGCCGACACGGACGAAAGGAGAAGAAGAGCGTGACGCGAGAAACAGTGAATTAGAAAACCGGCCGTGTGCATTTAACTGGGTTTGCTTAAAAAGACTGGATCAAGAATTGTTCTTCAATTCCAACGAAATTTGACATGTTGATAAATATTCCATATTTTACGTACTTAATCGTAGAAATTTCCGTATCTCTTTCACTTAATAAGTTGTATAATGATAAATTTGTTATATAGAATGTTATATGATTATAATGGATTGATTATACGTCTATAAAGAAACTTTTTTATTGATGGAATATTACTTTGAAAAGATGAAAACCTTTAAAGTTTTAATTTTATTTTCTTTTTATTTTAATAAAATTTATCAGAATATCTCTTTTAAAAAGAACGATTTTTTTTTATCTTGATCTTTTTATTCACTCTTTTTTACTTGTTTACATTTTGTTCTATGTTTTATTATCATTATTATTTTTTCTTTTTTATATATCATAATTTGTTCTTATATCAGTTAAAAATATTTATATCAACTAGTACTCATAACAATTCAAGAGATTGATTCAATTTGTCTTCAATATGGTGATTAAATTTTTTTAAAACATAATTTTTAAAATGCAAATCGATTATTATAAATACAAAATTTTACATCATTTATTATAAACAAAATTAAAGCCATTTTCTAATACAGTGCAATGATAATCAATTGATATCAATATTATGAATTTATAGTAATTTTATTTTTTTATTTATAAATATTCTGCTTTATTTGAAAGCATTATTCTTTTTTCATAAATTGTATAATAAATGTAAATTATTAAAGAATATGAATAAATATTATATATATAATAATAAATTCGCATATTTCTTTTTTATTTTATTTTATTTTTAAGTTTTCTTTATATATTTTCTTTATACTTTCAACTTCTGACAATTTGTTTAAATAAATATAACTACGTAATGATACAAGATAAAACAAAATTTTAAATTAAAAAATATTCAAATTTCAGTAATTTGTTACTATTATAAAAAATATTTCCAAATGAAATTGTGAATATGAAACGTGAAAAAAACATGATAAAAATTTGAGGGTTAATTTCACTGAAATTACTGAAAGAGATTTTTTATCGAAAAATAAAGTACTGTTATATATAACCCTTCATTATTATGCTCCATATAAATACATAAATTTTCATTAAAATCAAAAATTAATGAATTTACTTCCAAGATAATATATGATAACTTTTATTACTAACTGTATGTATGATAATTCAAAATCTGGGACTTTTTATTCATTATATTTATTCCAATAAATATAATGAATAAAAAGAAATAAATACAGTCATCACTTGGGATTGTGCTTGAGTATATATCTGAAAAGGTAAATTTCTGAGAATTAGCCGATGTTATCTGATTCCAATTCACTGTACCGTGTCTTCATCAAGGATAAAAGTGAGACAGAGATAGAGTACAATAACAGTGTAGAGATCATTTTTTAACAATTGAAATTAATAGTTAAAATAAAAGTTAATATAGTTATGTTTGGTGTTATTTTAATAATACGAATCTCAATAATTTAGCATAACATTAAT